GGAAAAGATGAAGTATAGTGCAGAGATTGAAAGTGTATGCAAAGCTCTCGAGGTTTGTTTTTTGCTCATTTTCACAAGTTCTTAAATTTATTTTTATTAGGGAAATCGGACAGATCTCAATGAATACAGTAGGATTTCTTGCTAAAATTTGAGTTAAAGAAACTTGCTTTCTTATAGGCTGTTGATCTCAGGAGCTCTGAAGTTTCAAGTCTGCAGAACATCAAGGTAATCAGATAGAATCTGCACAATATCATTTCTCCACAGAAGTTGAAAATTTTTCCAAATTAACGTGTCTGGTTCTTTGCAGACATGTGATTTATCTTATCAAGCTGCATTACCCGAAATATTGGAGGTTTTGAGATCTGCTTGTGAAACACATAGATTGCCTTTGGCTCAGACATGGGTGCCATGCGTCCTACACGGCAAATGGGGGAATCGGCACTCGGATGAGAACTTGCTCCATTGTGTTTCCACTGTCGATTCTGCTTGCTACATAGCTGATCCCAGTACTCGGGATTTTTCTGAAGCTTGCTCTGAGCACCACTTGTTAAAAGGTCAAGGCATTGTCGGTAGAGCATTTACGACTAACCAACCTTGTTTCTCATCTGATGTAACTTCTTATAGTAAGACTGAGTATCCTCTTTCTCATCATGCAAAGATTTTTGGTCTTTGTGCTGCTGTTGCTATACGTCTTCGGAGTATCTGTACTGGTTCGTCTGACTTTGTTTTGGAGTTCTTTTTGCCTAAGGATTGTAGGGATCCTGAAGGACAAAAGGAAATTCTCACTTTGCTGTCTAATGTTATACAAAAAGTTTGCCGCACCTTACGAGTTGTTATGGAAGAAGAGTTGCAGGACGAATCTATTTCTCCAATTTATGAAGTTGCAAATCCTCCAGTAACTAGATCTAGTGAAGAAACTCCACAGGTGGACCAAATGCATTCTCTGAGACCTTCTCATGATATAATATCCTGGAATGGAAAACCAAGAGAGATCCTAGATGAAATATTGTCACGGTTCAGTCGAGATCAACCGGATTCTAGTTCAAGAGCGGGTTTTGCCTTTGATGATAGCTCACCGAGCACAAGTAAACCTGGAGAGCGAAGACGGAAAAAAGCTGAGAAAACTATTACCTTGCAAGTTCTTCGGCAATACTTTGCTGGGAGCCTGAATGATGCCGCAAAACGTCT